AATCGTCGTTCTTAAATTCCAGCACTGTGTTGCATACTAGATTATATCGCATCTGGTATGTTGTATTTTTTACTAGAATCTGGAAAGCCTGGATTAAAGAACAAAAAGAATATAAAATAACAGACAACTTTTTGACCAGTAATTGTAACCTTTGCATCGAAACGCCCATGCTTTGATTAAACTAATACTGAAGCTTAACAGCGGTGAGTTAAAACCAGATATGTTCATCACCGGCATTTTTGGTAGCCAAGCATGTGAATCCTTATTTCGGGCTGCCAGATCCATGACTTTTATGTATTCAACAATAATACATTTTAGTATAGGATATGCTGAACCGAATTAAGAGAATTAAGACAACTGATAGCATAAACAATCTGAGGGGGACTTTTACATTTCCAAGGGAAGACAAAAGATTAAAAACCAGACTAATAAAAGAAAATTTACCACGTGAAGAAGAAATTTTAAATTTGGATATCAAATCTACAGTTAAAAAAGCTCTACAAAATGTCATAGAGGACATGAAACATCTTGGAATTAATGAAAAAGAAAACGATTGGAAATATATGCAGGTAGGTACCGATAACCGTTAATAAGACGGAAACAAAATATTGCAATTACACAGGATAATGAAGACGCCGACGAAGACAACGCTAAAATTGTCGAAAACCCCGAAGAAAATTGGCAAAAACAAATATTAGTAATGAGGACGATAAAGTTATGGATGAAGTTATGGACTTAATTTCGAACGAGATTTCTAATGAAGATAGCGAATGTGATACTTTGGAAACGAGTTTTATAAGTTTAAAAGACTTTTCTAAAAAAGTGCACAGTGAATCGGAAAAATCACCGTACCTATATAATATTATATATTCAATTATTAAAAAATCATCGTACTGCTGGCTTTTAGATCAGTCCGACGGTAGAGTAAGTACTGGCCGATTTAAAAGATTTATAGGCAGTACAAGGAAAACACCGAAGAAAACACCTTGCAAAAATTCCAAGTCGACCTTGACTATAAACAGAAGCTATGCATGGATCAAGCTAGTAGCTAGTAGCACAAGCACTGTATCCTTCTCCGACTCTATCGTGATGGAACTCGACGACTCCGATGATTTGGAGGAGTTTTCAGATGAGATCTTGTCGTATAAATCAGAAAATGTATCGAAATTTGCCGGACACGAGTTACACTTAGAAAACTATTATGCGGTTTTCTATGACCAATCGTGAGCTTTGCTGCACGAGCGAGGCGAATGTAGAATACACTATTTAGAAATGGCCGCCTTTCACCACGAAATATGTACACTATTTTTTATGACAAAATGAAAATTCGACTTTCGCTGCCCTTTAAGAGAGAAAAATTGTTAATATTTAAGTTAATTCATAAACAAAAATATACCAAACTAAAGACAATAATTGGCTTAATTAATAATATTAATTATTAAAGAACTTATGTTAAGCAAAAGTGGAATTTATGCTGCTAGTGTCATGAAAAAGCATTGATTAATATAATACTTTTCTTTACGATTTTTCAAATGTGCTTAATAAAAGTGTTGCTGGGTAAAAAAGTTTTGCTAACCAGAAAACGTATACTTTTCTTTACTATTTCTCTAAGTATGCTATTTTTCATTAAGAATACGAACAAATATAGCCTTAAAAAATATACCCTTCAAAAAGAATTACTATAATATTAATGGTAATTATTTATGTTAAAATGTATAGCAAGAAAAAAAATAGAAACTAAAACCTTGAAGGTTTAAAAAATAATAGGGATATTTAAAATTTAATATAAAATTAATTAAAACTTTTTAAACCTTACATTTCTAATACAGACATTATTTTATAAACATGCAAAATATCAATATTAAAAATTACATAGAAGAAAAATCACATGTTAAAAATTCATTTATATCTTATTAAAGTTGACTCGCTAAATACCGTATTTCTAGGAGACGCAATAAGGTTGCGAAATGTAATGACGCAATATTGTATTACGGATATATATATATATATATATATATATATATATATATATATATATACATATACATAAATATACATCCTTAGTACAATATTGCGTCATTATAATTTGGCAACACTGTAGGACGCAATAAAGTCTGTACAAGCCATATAAAATTTAAAATAAAATATACACGTGACGCAATATTATATCAAGATTAAAATGAGTTGATAATGTAGTGACTTTTGAAAAAAAAGTGTATATCTTATTTTTTAAGATAAAAAAAATCTGACCAGATTTTTGGAATCAGCAAAAAAAAGTACGCCAATATACTCTTCTATATTTTCGCTAAATACCGTATTTCTAGTAGACGCAATAAGGTCGCGAATTGTAATGACGCAATATTGTATTAGGGATGTATATATATATATATATATATATATATATATATATATATATATTTATATATATATATATTTATGACATGTATGCTTAAGTTTTAAATAATTGGAGCCCGGATTATATGCAACAGAAAAAGCTTAAAATATGCATGAAAAGTGCTTAAAATACACACCAAAAGTTTCATAATACGAATGAAAAATAGTTACTTTTGACTTAATATTGATATTTGGAACTTGGTTGTGCACAAAATATTTTTCTGTATACACAAAGTAACTTTAAACTTTTAAACCGTTTTCCACCTCCGTCTGAATATTATAATTATTTTTTATCATACACAAGTATTATATGGGTCATTATACTTTTTAGCCCCATCTACCTCTAAAAATTAAATATTTCACATTTTTATATCCATTGTGACTATTATTTAGTCAAACTAAAGGTAATTCTAATGTTACTCTCAGCAGTAAAGTTTTGCTTAAAGAGTCTCTTATTTTTAAGTTTTAATGTCGTAGCCATAGTAGTACAGTGTGACAAAAGACACAATAGGTGCTTTCCTTTTGCACCAATTCTCAGATAAACTCACCTCACCTCACTTATGAACGCGTTCTATTTACAATCAGCTGACTGAAGTGAAGTGAGATTCTTACTTCCCCCCTTACCGATGCTGCACAACCCAGTGGGGTCCAGCAATAGTGAGGAGATTGGACCTAGATGCATGAATAGATGGAAGGGGAATATTTGACAGCGTTTTTAGGTTATGTATTTGTTTTATAAGATTTTTCTGTGGTTTTGTTCGTTGTTTGGCACTTTTTTGGTAGTTGTTATAATTAATTAATAAGTTATAAGTTATCTTATTCGTTGTTATTACAATATGGTTTACGCTATTGTGAAATCAACAAATCAAATCAACCAGCTTACCGTTATAAATTTATAAGCAGCCATTCTGAAAGGCCAATTTACTAATGACAGACAAAGTAGCTAAATCACCTCACTTGCCGTTCCTTTTACGAATGTGCTCCGTTGTGAGGTGAGGTGAGATCCGAACCTCATTTTACCTCACATCACTTGCAAAAGGAAAGCACCTAATAAAAGCACATAAAACATTGCATTAATGAAAAAGAAATGATTGGTTTACTTTACATAAAAAAGAAAATTAAATATTGCAAATTCTTACCGAGTTAATTCCGTGATGAAAGATAACCTTAAAAAACACACGCTGTTTGTAACGCGCAAAATAACAATAGCGTACCATTGCCACATACTTGTGTGGAAGTATGTGACCATTGCCTGCAGCGGCGCCATCTCGTGCCACAGTTATGAACTATATGGGTTTCAGAGTTATTTTATACGTAATGCTTAACTCCAGAGTATTTTATAACAAAGCTGTTTTTATCCAGGCCGTTTGGGACAAAGTAGACATTACATTAGATTAGGACAAGGTTTGATCACGCATTTTATCACATTCTTTATTAGTACTGAGGAGCTACTTGTTTGTTATTTTATTTTAAGTTTTAGAATTCTGTTTCATACATAACCTATGAAATATATCAAAGTTTTCACTTTTGCAATATGATGGGGACATGGGGTTATAGAGTGCAAACTTTCAACCTTAATTATAAGACATTAAAAATATTTTTACATTTAATTTAAGTTCTTATTTATGGATCTAGTTTTATATTAGTTGTCTCAATTTATTATTTTTTTAATAAGAAATGTTAGGGATAACTGACAAATGGCAGAAAGACTTAATAGTATAATGACCCATATATACAGGCGTTTTCAATTATAAAAATATTCATATTTTGCTCCAACCTAATGTACCTTATGCGCGGTCATTAACAAAAGCACATATCCCATAAATAAGTTTTATCGCATTTTTTCAAATAACTTTGGAATTAGCAACAACTATCAACTAATTTTTATAAATGCTTCTGATGAATACCAAGGCTACAAATCAACATTAATTTTAAATCATCTAAGGGACCTGAACATAGATTTGTTTTTTTTATCTGAGCTTATGTTAATAACCGCACAAAAATAAAAAATAAAAAAACTGATTTTAAATAATTTTTTGTTATGTATCAAAATAAATTCAAATAAAAAACAATTCATTTAAAGCCTTGCAATCTACTCTATATGTATACAAATTTTATAAATAAAAAAGTTATGTATATTTCATGCGAGACCTAGATAATAATAATTTGCAGGCCGATCAGCACGGCTTTGTCATATGCCATTTAGTATCCAGGCATCATACCGAAAAATATTGTAAACATAGCAGCAGTATGCAGACTTTAGATAAAATATGTAATAACTGTTAAAAATGGGCTTTATACCCCAAAGCCAATGTCCAAAAGCCTGATTTTTAAAGGAGAGGTTTGAAACGCGACATGTTCATCTTTGCGTTGTTGTTTAACAACGGTTTATTTCCATTAAACCTACTACCCACATTAAACCCCACTTCCATTAAATATTCTGTGGATTTCAACCATGCAAATCAAAATTCCGCGTTTGAAATTTTTAAAACGGCTCCTTTAAAATGTTTTTTTATCTGCCCTGCTTTGGCTGGGGTACAGATATGTAAACGCATATAATCCAGGCTCTAATAATGATATAGGTGAATGGAAAAAATGTTTCTTACCTGCCGGACTTATGGCTGCAATCATGATGGTCTTGGAATTCCCGCCCAAACTGTCTTTCAACAACCAGGTGAGCACCGAATCTCTGTACGGTATGAAAAAAGCTTTTTTCTGTCCGTCCTTGTCGGCCGAGACCTCGGCAAGCGCGGAAATAACCGAACCGAGGGTAACTAGAGACTTGTTAATGTGCGCGCCTTCCTTGAGCCTCTGGCCGGTGGCTCCTGTGGCATCAGCGCGTTCACTTCCTGCCAAATCCACCAGATGAATCTGCAAACCGAGGCAAGGGTAATCTCTTTCGAACAATGTTGGGTGATTTAGATAAAATTAACGTGAAAATATTATTATTATGGAAATTTTGAAGTTTGTTTTTATAGCCGTCATCACAATCCACACAACAAGGTCTGTTCAATCTCGTTTCGCGCAACTAGAGTCTACAGACCATACTTCACAAAGGCTTTCGATCCCGCACATGCCCTTTGGTTTATCAGCTGATCTACTGTTAATCAACTAAAATGGGCAAAAGTGAGCGAAACCAACCAAAACCACGAGAAGTTAATTAACCCAGGGAACACCCACTGTTGCCACGTTTCTCCGCGTCATCTGTCAAACAAAACTATTAAAACCATAAAACCAAACCAACCCAAACTCAACAACACAACCCAACCGACCCCGCCCCATTGGGCCCCCCCGCCCCATTGAGCAAAAAACTCAACTAAAATGGCAAATTTATGTTACGATAAAAATAAAACACTTTTTAACAAAGGAACAACATATTTATGAAATAAAAAAAGTTCGACAACTTCTAGTAGATTTTATGTTACGATAAAACTAAAACAAACCAACCAACCCAACCCAACCGAACACTGTTTAACAAAGAAACAACAAATTTATGAAATAAAAAAATAAAAAAAGTTCGACAGCTTCTTAGTATCGAACCCGGGACCCCTCCCATGCCAAGCGACCGCCCTACCATCTGAGCTATCTAGCTTGATGTCAAATGTTAAACGCTCGGGGAACAAAAACGATTATAATTATGACGTAACAAATTTACACAGTACAATCAAAGATTTATCTTTGAGTACAATTATCTTTGAGTACAATAATAATAATGACATTTTGTATAAGAAATTAGGTTAAAGATTTGTTTACGTTTAATAGTTTTGTTTGACAGATGACGCGGAGAAACGTGGCAACAGTGGGTGTTCCCTGGGTTAATTAGCTTCTCATACCAAAACCAACCCAAACTCAACAACACAACCCAACCGACCCCGCCCCATTGGTCAATAGAGATATAATATATGTAAGGGTAGATACATTTTATAAATTTTGAACATTAAATAATATATATTTATTTAAATTATAGGTAAAATAGCGCAATGATAACAAACAAAGTACCCACCAGGATGATAACAAAACTTTTTGACTTCTGACAGATCAGCTATTAACCAAAGCGCATGTGCGGGATCGAAAGCCTTTGTGAAGAATGGTCTGTAGACACTTCTTTTCGCGCATAATGCAACACTTCACAGAGTTTAACGGCGGCCATTTTTGTTGTTTACAATTCTTGTGCTTTGGGGTTGCACTGTTTATACATATTAATAATCGTTTTAAACGTTGTGTATCTTACAGAGGCACTTGTTAGCCTCAAATGAGGCCTTAAAGTGCGAAGGACAACCATTTTACTTCTCTTTTGTAAAAAATAAACCTTATTTTATCAGGGCTGTCATCAAATTGTTAAATGTCAATTTTAAGGTTAATTTATACGCTAAAGTATTGGGTTTTCGCAACGCCCGCGCCATCTGGTGGACTTCGAATGCATTGCGTGAATTTAAGAATTAAGGCGTTTCTCGGAAAAACATCATTAGTCCAATATCGTCGAAATTTAGATATTAGCACCAACTGTTTCCTAACCTCCATATATACGTATACAAATAAGTGTTTCTCGTAAAAATGTCATAGGTTCCATAATAATTAAATATGAAATTTAGCTTATTCTTCTAAAAACATCACAAGTCCACTCCGTTTCGTCTAAGGAAGTCCCATGTGCATAACATGTGACGTTTTTGGACACTCTAGAAAAGCTTCTACCTCTTTTACATGACCACAGCAATAGAAAATTTTATGATAACTTGATAAAAGACCAGAAGACCATAGCACCTGACAGTCCTGATAACACGGTCGACAACGATGATAACAGCAGTGGATACGAAGACTGAGTGTGGCAGTAATACAGTTTTTAGTTTTTTCATTTATTTTGTTACTCATAGTTAATATTTAGTTTGTAGTGTTTGTAGTAAGGACAATTGTTTGTTTTTTTCTTCTAAAAACCTCACATGTTCATGTATTTTTTGTGTTTTTTTCATATTCGTTTGAAAAAAAAACATGAGGAATTCTGGACAAAGTATCTTACATTTTTTTACATGTAGTAAATAGGTCAATAAAGTACTTTGGTCAAAAATGGGAATGTCGGAGAGTTTTTTTCATTTTCCCAAATATGTTAATTTTGGACTAATGATGTTTTTCCGAGAAACGCGTCAATTGTCAACAATAAATTTAAAGCACTGATCATCATTTTTAAACAAATAGGTAGTTTTTTTACAAAAGATTACTCGACAAATTTTGTTCAATTGGACAGCTAAATCGCGCACGTTAAATAATTATTTGTGTTTTACGTTGCAAGGGGAAAATGAAATAGTTATTTGTTTTACAAGTGTTGAAAAGCGACTTTTTCATGCGAGTTTTTAAGTTGCCCACGAGGCCGTTAGGCCGAGTGTGGATTAACACGAGCTTAAAGAAAGCTTTTCTCACAAGTATAACACAATGTTTTTTCTGCGACCCTTTTATTTTTTATTTTTAAATACAAAACAAAATAACATAAAAACTTTTTTGACAGCTGAATGTCAAACGATACTGTCAATTTCTTTTCACACAGACCTGTCACTTTTCACACAGAAATGTCTCTTTAAATTCGTGTTTTGCCTTGCCAATGAAAAGATTCATTTTCTAAGCAACGATGCCATCATGAAAAGTGAGTTTTACATAGTGGTCATAGAAAAAAACTTTTTAGTACTCGATTTCGATTGATTATTCCACAGATTATGAAGGATTATTCCTTATATCATTGATTAAGAAACTCAACGCTTAAATGCTTATATAGTTACGTTAGTGTGTGTATTTTATCAAAGGTATCATGGTGAATTATTGTGTTTTTAATTTTAAATAAAATTCAAGAACTAAATCGTTGCATTTTCATGTTTTGTCAAAGGGTCCAATTCGGTAAGTACATTTGTTGGTGCAGAATTAACTAATGATAACTTTACCTAATATAGGTAATTTATATTTAAGTTTGGACATTTTTAAGAAATTAGTAAAAAATAATTTTTGCACTAACATTACCCTAAAATCAACCATTTTTATATTCGAGTTCTCTACACAGATTATAAAGAAATAGATAGGCAACTCAGTACTGAGTACTGAGTCAGTAGGCAATGTGTGATATCGTGTTACAGCGCCACCTAGTGAGAATTCCGCTCTGGTTTTTAGGTTTTGGCGGTTTATTAGAAACAAATAATATATTTTTTCGAAGATTTCAATCTTTTTTAAAACTATTTAACTGCCTAGCAGTTAAATAGTTTGAAAACAAATTGAAATTATAAAGTGTTTTATTACATTTTATAAAGCAATATATTGTTATAAAATTTAGAAAGCAAATAACTCTCAGTTGATATAATATAAATAAATTATAATAACATACCATTTATTATTGACAATATTATCTAAACTGATTGTAGAATCAACGGTAGAATAATAACGCACAAAAACACAACAGAACAAATTATTGTTTGTATTGAAAATTATTAAAATATTTCAATTTTGCAATACTGTCACAGATGTCAGTTTTATCGATTTTATTTACTGTCGTCTATGGTTACCTCTACTTTTTTAAGATATGTTCCCGATAAAAAATTCTGCAAATAGCGTCATTTAGTGAGAATTCCGCTCTGAAAAACACTGTTTCAAAGAACCAATGCCAGTTCGCCGACAACTGCATTTAAACAACAAAATATACCTCATGGCAACATAAAATTATATATAATAGTAGAGATGGGAAAATTCCCATTTGACGAAAATTTCCGGAAACATTCCATCGAAAATTCCCGAAATTTTCCGAAAGTTTCAAAAAAAGTTTTTTTATTGCGAAAATATTTTTTTCTTGCTACCCGGCAGAAAATACGTTGTTTCGTCCCCGATTCCACGGCAGAAAGTTTACCTTTTATGCATTGGTCAAGGCTATACGTATTTTCGGCCGAGGTAGTAAGAAAAGTTTCATTTCCTCCCGCTACCATGACAACGCTACAGTTTGATTGATTTTGAATGTAAACGTCAGAATTAAATTAAACGTCAGATTTTAATTTTGACACAAGTTTTTTTATACACATTTAATTTTTTTCCGTATTTTCTGCCGGGTAGCAAGAAAAATAGTATACACTACACGGGCAGAAAGTGTGAGAGCCCTGAACTGCGCGCCATCATGGCGCGCAGTGCAGGAATCTCACACTTTCTGCCCTTGTAGTGTATTATACTATTTTTATGCCAGAGCATTGCAAAAATATATAACACATTAACTTTTTGTCAAATTTTATAAAGAAAAAAAATAAAAAATATTGTTTATAAGAATGTAACTGAAATACTATTTTTAGTATCTTTTACTTTGGAATATTCCTATTGTATACTGAAACCTACAAAATAAAAATAAAATGTTTACTATTAGAAATTCACTGCTAGTAAATCCTAGGTATTACGTAAAAAAAAAAATTAAAAGGGACAAAGTAACTAATATATAGGAATATTGAAAAGTAAAAGATACTAAAAATAGTATTGTAGTTCTGACTGATAAAATATGAAAGAAAAAACCACAGGCAAAATAAAAAAATAGCAAAAGTAAAAAACACAAAATAGGATTTTTTTAAAACCAAACAGGTAAATAAAAGTGTTATTGCTGTATTTTAAATTTATCTAAGATTAATATCTTTCTTCCATCTTTTAATAGAAATTGCAACTTAGGAACTGAATCCAATACAACATTTGATGTACTTGGTTTAGGATATGTATTTTCTGGGTTTTCATTAATCATTTCTTGTTCTGATTCCTCCTGGTACTCGTAATTTTCATATTCATTATTTTCTTGGTTAAACACATCTATTTCATCTTCATGTTCTTCATCTGTTATGTTAAAGATATCTTCTTCACTTAGTTCATCTTCATAGGTATCATTTTTGCTTTCTATTGAGGCAGCAATATCACTTATTCTATCAGTCTCGTTTGGTAATTTTAAATTTAAATTATATATTGCTTTTTCATCACCTCTTTCATTAGTAAAGAACTGTAAATTATGTTTTATGAAAACGATTTTTTCTGTATTGGAAACTGTCAGTCTATTTCTCTTCACCGTTTTAATATTAGAATGTAACTTAAAATTTCTTTCACAGCTACCAGTAGTTGCTGGCATTGATAATAGCCTTTTTGCTGTTTTCGTAAGAGCAATATTTGGATAAAATCCAGTCCACCATGTTATTGATGAAACATTGGCAGCTACTCTCCAATATGCCTTATTAGAAAAAATGCTTGTCTGAGATCTATATTCAACAAAGTTTTTAAAAAGTTCTGTTTCATCAATCCCCATGTTATTACCAAGTGTTGTTACAAACTGCACTATGATATTAAATTCTGTATCATCTATTAATCCAAGTTGGTTTGGGTCCAAAAAACATGCAGCGCCCTGAGCATCATGTATCATGAATACTTTCCGTAATTCCCACTTATCCATAATTTTTTGTTGGTCTGACAAAGAAAAGGCATCTAAGTTCTGTGTTATATAATTTTCTATATCTTTAAGATGTTTGTAAGAATATTGAAGGGTTGCTTTATCCCCTTCTAGTCAGTTTATTGATGCTGATATAGGTTGTAGAAGTTTTAATATTTTGTTTAATTTTTTCTTGGCCTTAACGAAAATCAGCGGTTAAACAATTGACATTTAAATGAAAAAAACAAGGAAAGTTTCCAAGGAATGTTTCCAAGGAATGTTTCCGGTAGCTTAAAAGAAACTTTCAAAATGAAAATAAATTCCCAATTGGAAACTTTCCAAAACGGAAAGTTTCCTTAAAATGGAAACTTTCCGATTCCCATCTCTATATAATACCACAATCCACACAACAAGGTCTGTTCGATCTCATACTAAAAATACTAAAAATCACTGCAACACTGCACATCATTCAATGGCGGCCATTTTTGTTGTTTACAATTCTTGTGCTTTGGGTTTGTACAGATTAATAATCGTTTTAAACGTTGTGTTTCTTACAGAGAGACTTGCAAGCCTTAAAAGAGACCTCAAAGTGGTAAGAACAATCATTTTACTCCTCTTTTGTAAAAAATAAACCTTATTCTATCAGGGCTGTCAAATGTCAATTTGAAGGTTAATTTGTGGGTTATAAAATAACCCATTGTGCAAACCCACTTTTGGTGAAGCCCGTAGCTTTTATGGAAAGCGCAGACCTGCTCTGGTCGGGCATGCATTATTTCCTCTGGTTCCAGATACCTGTCCCCAAGGTGTCTTAAGCCCGCTGCACAACAGCCCGGTAACGAGAACGAGAACCTAAACGGTAAAGGTGGGAGACACTCAGCAAACACTATCTATTAACAGTGGTTTCTTAGTCTCTCCCACCTTTACTGTTCAGATTCCGTTCCCGTTACCGGGCTATTGTGCAGCGGGCTTTAGTCTGCTATTGACTAGAGCGTCTCATTCGCAGACTCTAGGCTCGGTAGTTTCGTCTACTTCGCTGCAGTACCTACATTGTAGGTCCTACAATCCGCCTTGTTCCTGAGTCCGGTTTTGTGTAGGTGGTATTTGACTACCCAGTGTCCTGTTAGGACACCTGTGATGGCTCTTAATTTGTTCCTGTTAAGTTTCAGGAGTTTTTTTGCCTCTTTGCAGTTAGTAGGACCCTTTATTAAAACTCTTGACTGTCTGAGGCCTTGTTGTTCTTGCCATTTGTTCTGGAACTGGTTGTTAGTCCAGTTCCTAATCTTGGTTTTCACCAGACAGGAGGCGACCCCTATAGCAGGTTCTGGTCCTATAAAGGCCGTCGTGATACTGCCCTCACGAGCCAGTTGGTCTGCTTCCTCGTTGCCTTTGATGCTTCAATGACCCGGTACCCAGACAATGCTGACCTTGTTGAGCACACTGAGTAATTCTAGGGTTTTCATGCAATCTAGTGTAAGCCTCGAGTTGACCCTTTCTAAATGAAGAGCCCTGAGTGCTGCTTGACTGTCGCTACATATGTAGATATGTTTACCCGGGTAGCCTCTCTGGAGATTCTCTTGAGCGCATATCAGGATGGCAGTCTAGTATACCGTTAAGTATCGACCTAGTGCAAGGCTTATTCTCGACCCAGGTCGCTCCCCATATATACAGCTTCTGCACCATCATTTATTAAAGACCCGTCCGTGTACCAGATGAGCCCTTTCGGTTTGAGGAAGCCTGGGTCAGGCTCGCTTCAGTCGTTTCTCGAAGGGAAAACGACTTTATATCTTCTGAGGGGGTTTGAAGTCTTTGGCATTGCATCACTTTTTGTGAGAAGGGTGTCGCGGTTGATAGTATCAGTCCAGGCCCTTGCATGCCCTGAGCTCCCCCCCCTGTGAGTCCATTGTCCCCAATCGTTGAGTCTGACCGAGGCCTCCCGAGCCCGTACCTCCACAAAGATGTAGAGGCGTTAGTCCCAGTATGGCCTCCATTGCCAGTGTTGGAGTGGTTCTGAAAGCTCCAATTACGCCCATGCAGGCAAGTCGTTGGAGCTAGTCCAGTAGGTGGGTTTGCTTAGCGCATTCCACCATACTAGACTGCCGTATGTGAACATTGGCCTTAACTGTTGTGTAAAGCCAGTGCACTATGTGGGGTTGTAAGCCCTAGGTGCGTCCAATGGACCTTCTGCATGCCCATAGGCCAGCAGTGGCCCTCTGGAGGACCCTGTTGACGTGATCCTTTCAGAAAACGCTTTATGTATTAAGTTAATATTATTAATGTATTAGTTTTTGTTTCAAGATAAAATAGCGGAGGAGAGGTATTTTTGGGCTTCGCTTAATCGCTTTGAAATATTTTGAGCTCATCACAAAAATACTCACTTCTTCTCCTAATGACATAATCTACTTTTTTTTCAAGCGAAAAACAATTTTCATATTATAACACTCATAAGCCTATATAGAAAGACTTTTGTACGCAGTACGCTAACTCGATAATTTCAATGGAAGTACATAATTATTAAACGCTTAAAAAAAATAGTACACAACACAGCGGGGAAAGCATATTAACTACCCCGCTCAGATCTGCAGCCTCGGCCAAGGCCTCGGCAAAGAACACCGAGCTCGGTTGTAAATAATCGCTTTCTCCGCATGTTAGATAATTTACTATTATCGTCCTAAAAAGTGTTTTTTAACGCAATATTTTACAAATTCACAAAATTAAAGAAAATTTGTGAGTGTATTAAATTGGCCAGAACTCTACAGATATAAAAAATTGATCTATATATGACTATATACATTAGACTGGGCCAAAAAAATCAACAATTTTTTTTTTGAAAAGTATATCGAAAATATGGTTTGGGGTGACAAAAAAAATTATTGTGAAAGTTTGAGTCCATAATATTAATATTAAGAGGTCTATCATCGCAATTTAATTTTTTTTTTCTCAGCAAGTTTTTGTCTCAGAACTCCCAAACCATTGAGTTTAACAAAATTGACATAGAAACATGTTTTTAAGAAAATTAAATTCTCTACAAAAAAGGTTAAAATGAAATTTTCCGTCAGATGAACCATTTCCTTAAAATCATGCCTTAAAAATTAGTATAGTTTTACATTTTGATCTTTTAACTTTGGAATTGTTTTAATTCATGTAAAAATCAGTACCCAGAGGAAAACCGATGAATACTCTTATGGGAAATCAAATGCTTTACAAAAAAAGCCTCTTAACATTTTTGGCTAAATTCACTCAATCAAAAGTTATTCAAGGTTAAAGTTGAGGTCAAAAAGAAATTCTTGTTTTTTCCTCTGCATATTTACTTTTTATGGATGATAATTTGATTTTTTTCTTTATAAATATAATTATATATTATATAACTAATTAACAATTTCCAATAAAAAAATAACATGATTGTTATTATTTAAACGATTAAATAGGTAACAGTGAAAATAATATTTTCTAAAGAAAATAGCTTCTTAAAGGGAAAAAATTCTAATGTGTTATTTTTTTTAATTTTCAGTAATTTTATCATAACATAAAGATTATCATCGATAAAAGAATTCAAGTTTTTAACTGAAAAAAATCTAGAGCGGAAAAAAACAAGAAATTAGGTTTGACTTTAAATTTAACCTGGAATAACTTTTGATGGAGTGAATTTAGCCAAAAATGCTAGGAGACCATTTGATTTCCCATAAGAATTTACATGAATTACAAAATTCCAAAGTTAAAAGATCAAATTGTAAAACTATACCAATTTTTAAGGCATGATTGTAAGAAAACGGTTAATCTGACGGGAAATTCCAATCAAACCTTTTTTGTAGAGCATTCAATTTTCTTCAAAAAATATTTTTAAGACAATTTTATAAAACTCAATGGTTTGGGAGGTCTGAGACAAAAACTCGCTCAGGAAAAAAAATCTTAAATGCGATGACAGACCTCTTAATATTAATATTATGGACTTAAACTTTCACCATAATTTTTTTCTTGTCATCCCTAACAATATTTTTTATATAATTTTCAAAAAAAAAATAGTTGATTTTTTTGGCCCAGTCTAATATACATATATATAAAAAATTGATTAGGAATTTCACAAATATCAAGATTTTTATAAATAAATATAAAATTTTATTTACCTTGGATACTGTTTCACTTGGTACTCCATCACAATAGCCAGCTTGGACAAATGTTATAGTAAAAATAGCGTGGCTTCTGCTACTGACATCATTCATATTTGTGGCTGCAGTTGTTCGGTGTGAATTGCCCCTTGAGAAAAAAAATTATTGAATAAATAAATAGTAAAAAATAGTGATAAAATTGTAAAGGCATAAATTATAAAAAAAATTAAGAGAAAAAAAATTCCTTGGATTCTTAAAAAATATTCTTATATTTATATTAAGATAAATTATGAGGAATTGGATTGAAACAAAAATAAACTCATAAACATCATAAAGTTTGTAAATGATTGCAATCTAGACTAAACTTAATATTTACTACTAATAAAAACATGTTTAAAAACAATATAAAACAAATTTTGTACAGCAAAATTAAAAAAAGTAGATAAAAACAAATAAAAGTATTAGCTTAATGAACTCAAAAGTGTTTTCTAATTTAAATTTAAATGATAATTTAACAATTTAAATAAATATAAATTAAAAATAACTAGAAAGTTAAATTATGTGTGTCTAATAATTTTTCTCTTACCTATTCATGCAGTCCTGTATATGATTATAATTAGTGACAAGGCACGTGGTGAGCCCCTGTACATAGGGCCCCTTTTTAGGGTGCTCTCTTACTTTCAAAGAACTATTATCTCTTCCTCCCAACAAATCAGCAACTCTCTCCTGATAAATTTCTAAGTAACTAACTTGCACACGATGTGTGGTACCAAGTTTAGAATTTTCAGACATTTTTTCAAAAAGCGCCTTGCAAATTCTGGGAATCAGACCTTGGTTTTCCTAAAAAAAAGTCTTGTGAAATATGTAGTTTAAAACCTTTCTATGAAATCATAATTTAAATATCATTTACAGTGCCCAAGAAAAAAATGCGTTTGGTTGTGATTGTATCATATGTCAAAAACATGTAAGGTATCAGCAGAGCATCAGTTTAAGATGTTCTTTGGAATAAAAAATATTTTGATAATAATTGTTAACATAATTAGTAGAAGCATAGGTATATATGTATAAATTAAAATAGAACAGAGAATATTATGATTGCAAATAAAAATTAATTTGGTATATTGCAATTTTTTGTCCTTTATCCATTTGCCCCTTTAATTATGAAAAAACTTGACAATGAAGACATATATTTTTTTAATTCTGATTCTAGGGAAAATTTTTAAATTGAAAAGTAAGAATAGATAAACAATATAATTAATTGTCTTCAAGGTTTTTAAATTTATTTGCACCATTAAAAATTAACAATGTGGTGTCTGTTATCAGACAATTTAAGTTATCTAAATATGTGCAAAAAATTGTTCATTAAAAATTGTAAAACTATTTCTGAACATTTAAAAACAATGTTTTTATAAACATCACTTAAACTTTTCCTATCTGAGATAAAGGTGTTTTAATTAAGTTCAGGAACATCCTGTATAAAATTAACAAATCCTTACAGGTGATCCCATCATAGTAAAAGTTTTGCCACTTCCTGTTTGTCCATAAGCAAAAACACAAGCATTATAACCCTGAAAAGCACAGTCGATTACTTCTGTCCCCAAATTATTATAAACCATTTCTTGAGAAGCAAAATTACTTGACTTATTATCATGAGACCAGTAGGAATAGTCAAAAGTAAACTCCTTGTATCTAATATTCTCATCTCTTGCATTAGCCTACAAAAAAATCAAATGGAAATTAAAAAAATCCAATAGGATTTTATAGATATATGCATACCTTGCTGTTTAGTATGCCAGTAGTTTTTCCTTGCATTTGAATAATTAATTGCGCATCCATGTCGATTTCCCTAAAATCAGTTCAACGTTCTCATTCTCTTTTTAACTACTGAACCATACTAAATAATAAACACCAATTACCTTTGGTTAAAGGGCCTAACCCTCACTGCTACCTTAACTGAAGCCATTCTCAAACTCTTTTTCTAGAGTTTCACCTCATAAACATTTTATTTTTTAATTTTCCTTGATTTCTTGCAATCACTACACCAATCTTTGTTTTGATTTTACATCTGTCATTACTCCTACGCCATTTGACTTTTAAAACAAGTTTGCCAACTGTAGAACAATTTTGAGTAATATCCATATATATGGTAATATCCAACCTCATGAAAATTAAAACAGATTATATGAAAAAAAATTTACCACAATTTGTTGGATCCCTTTGTAATCGATTTGATTATATTATATATACGTACAACGTGTTCTTTGTATATAACCGTAAATTTTTTTTGTCATGAGGTTGGATATTATTCAAAATTGTTCTACAGTTGGCAAACGCATGCGACAATTCCAAATTTAATTGCGGTGTTGCTAGGTTTTGTAATTAAAGTCAATTTAATTTTTTTTGCACTTATATACTGGGGAACCCAACAAACTATCCAGGTACACTTTGACAGATGTAAAGTAATGTATGTGACAGTCGAAGGTGACAGGTGACAAATAAAGTAATAATATAATATTATTTTTCTACTCCTAGGAGTACGGAGTACGGAATTTTACTGTTCTATTATCACTTTTATCTATGGAATGACATACATTTCGTAAAATGTTACAGAATGAAATATTCTATCATCCTATGACAGAATAAACATATACTTACCAGTAAGTATATGAGAATAAACACTCGTGGCGACATCTCTGTTTTGTATCTAACAAATTTTATACCGATCCAACCTCACTTTCTTCCAATCAAATGACTTTTAAATATAATTATATGGTATTTTTTGGAAACGTAGAAAAAGTATAGTCTGAAACACGTTTGAATTGCATATTCCGCTCTCGTGAAACCGACAAACTCGCCTTCGGCTCGTGTGACAAACTCTTCACTCGAGCAGAATATGCTGTATTCCAAACTAGTTACAGAATATAATATATACTATTAATACTAGCCCACTAAGCAAAGTAATATTGCTACAAGCTTTATGCAATATTGCGAAGCAATGTGCAATATTGCTATATTTCTTACATTAACATTGCATAAAGGTTGATGTAAGCTTGAATGTACCGTGCAGCAATATTGCAATGTAATATTGTAATATAATTGTAATATAACCTTGCTACAATATTGCAAATATAATATTGACCCAACCATTCTTTGTAGTATTGCTTCAATATTGCATTGTAAGCTTGCTGCAATATTGCAAATATAATATTGACCCAACCATTCTTTGTAGTATTGCTTTAATATTGTATTGTAAGCTTGCTGCAATGTTGCAAACAAAACATTTAGGCAATATTGTTATGATAAGCTTGCTGCAATGTTTAGTACAGTGGCGGCTGGTGGATTTTGGGTATACCAATATGTTAGTTATGGGAAATGGGACCCACACCAAATTTATATGAGTTTATAATGACATAAAATAAAAAAGTTTTGCGCGAGCAAATTAAAATTAATGTTTGCGAAAGAAAGTTAGTTTTTCAGCGTGCCTCCCCAGCCCCCCTAATTAAGAAAATACAAAGTGATAAAATTTTTAATTTACTAGTTTATCGACAAATTTCAAGGTTTATTTACAAAATCCAAGTATTACAGATTTTATACCATTTTAAATTTTTATTTCTTTTACTAAAATAAAAATATGAAATCTGTAATGCTTGGATTTTTTAAATAAATTTTGAAATTTGTCAATAAACTATATATAATTGTAATTAAGCACAACTTTAATTTGAATTTTCTTATTTATGGGGAGACATTGGAGGCACGTTGAAAACCTAATTTTTTTTCGCAAAATTCAATATAAATTCTGCTTGCGCAAAACAATTGTTTATTGAATACCATTAAAAACTCATTATTGTGGGTCTCATCAAAGATAATAATGTATTATCTTTGGGTCTCATGTCTAATAACTGACATATTGGTATACCCAAAATCCACCAGCCACTAGTAAAGTAGGAAAGAAAACTTTTTAAGTATTTGTAAAGAGTTTTTTGACTTATTTTGGTGTAAGGAATCTCCTTATCTCTGAGATACCCTGTATAAACTAAATCAAAAACATAATGCTGATTAAAAAAACTAAATTTTTATTAAGTGTAAACTAAATCATAATAATACTGAAAAATAATAATAATACTAAAAACTAAAATTCTTCTCAATTTTTTTGACGGTTGTGGCGTACTCCTGCATACTGAAGCCAGTTCATTATTTTAACTTTAATATCAGTGTCCGTCGATTCTGTCCTGATTTGTTTTATAGAATCTAAAAATAAAAAATATAATGCATTCGTAAATGTCATCTTTATTTTTTGTAATACCTATTATAGTCTTCAGAATAGTTGTCCCCTCCAGTTTATAATTACCCCCTTTCCCAGTCCAGCTGCAGTACTGGCCAGCATTATTGGTAAAGGTTTTGTTCATTACATTTTTTATGCAATCTCCCAGATCTCTTCCCCCAACTCTTTTTAAGCAAGTCACCTAATATTAAATATCAAATTAGCAAGCATATAAGTTTAATGTATATTATTTAAGGATACATACATATTGTTTTGGACATTCGTCGTGACTTAATAGGAGGTCCTCAAATTCTTTTACTTCATCTACACTTTTCAATGGCAAGTTGGGTAGAAGATCTGTGCTGCCGGATAAACTTATGCCAGTTCTTTCCAAAATAAGGTCCACCTTCTGTTCGACTTCAATAAGTTTTGCCATAAATTCAACATATTGATTCGAAATTTTAAGCAATATTTCATCTAAAAGTTTTAATAATTACAGAAAAATATCAATTTTTAATGCACTTATGGAATTTAAAAAAGGTATCTAAACAAATAATAATTATCCCACAGTACAATAACATAAATACTAATAATATTACTAATATACTAATATTATATTAGTATACTATATTATGGTCAATTTAATAAATCTTTATTTTTAATACAAAAATCAAACAGGTGTTTATCATCAGCATTGATATTTAATACAAAAAATATAAATACCATTTTAAGCAAAACATTTGATGAAATATTTGACATATTTAACAGTTAATAAGACAAGATTGTCAATAAAAGAAAATATATGTCTGTGCCCTCCCAACACAAAAAACGTCAAAAATATACAGGGACTTTAACAACTTACCATTGTTTTCCCGGCTTCTTTGCAGTTGAATCTCTGGTAATGGCGCAATTTCCTCTGGTATATCGAAAATAATTAAATTTTCACTGCTGGCATTACTTTGTACATAGAAATTGCTTTCCTTATCTTCCATATCAACAGATGAGGATGTCGATGCTTCAGATGGCGGGCTGGATCTTAAAGGTGTAGAAACATTGAATTTCTTACAACTCAATTGTTGTTTCTCTTTGCCCTGTTTTATTTTGCCGAAGAGTTCATTTTCCTTATTCCCAGTATTTGTATTTTTACCTACAAAATTTAAAGTTGATAAAATTATTTCAGAACACGGCGTAATTCGAACCTTCAAATTTTGATAACCGTGGAGGTGGCGATATGGAATCATCACGGTACCGTTGATTTACTTTGACCAATCTTTTTTTGGGCTCTTCGCTCTCTGTTTCAGACGTTAATATTATATTATTTTCAGCTGCCAGCGCCTCTTTGTATGTACCTAAAAATTAAAGTCTATATAACATAGTTCAAAAGAAAAATTGTAACTCTTACTATATTGTCCATGAACAATTACATCAGAATAATTCGTCCAAACGCTGATGTCCGGAGGAGTTGCATTTTTAATTAGTTTTCGTAAGTTTGTTTGAGAATTAGGCCAATAACATTCTGTGGTTGTTTTGGAACAAATCAACCAGTTGGAAGCAACAGCTGTGATAAATATTTGGCTATTAAATGTAAATTCAATAACGCAGAACGGCTGTAAATTTAAATGAGCAGTTATTATCACATAGATTTCCTAAGATAAGTAGGATATGTTATGTTATTATTATATTATGTTAAGATAAGTAGGATATGTTATGTTATTTTCACACAGATTTCCTAAGATAAGTAGGATATGACAAAGTTTTTAAACTTTATAACTTTGTAGCTTACTCCAGATATAGGCCAAATCTCATTCAATTCATTTAAGTTATCAACTGTACCACAGCCAAATATTTTAGAATTACAGGGTTCATTAAAATATGATTCAAAAGAACTGTACTTATTTGTAATCAAAAAAATCTGGTTACTTTGAGTGCACTGAATTATTCGTACAATTTTAAAAATTTCGTTGTCAATAAGACAATGATTATTCTTTAGTCCTATACCCAAAGTAAAAGATTTGTACTGTACAGAATCATAAGATTTAACTGTCTTATTTCCTAACAAGGGCTCATTGTATGTAAGTTGATGCTTTTTAAGTATAGTATCTTTAACATCGCATTTTAGAGGATTAGAAAACTGAAGGAGTTCATGCGTTCTATTGACAAATTGTTGAAGAGGCTTATTTGATGTTTTAATACATTTTTTTATCTGACCAAGGTAGTTTTCAAATTTAAATGCACTAAATCTATCAACTGGGCCAAATTTTCGTACGTCGTTACTTAAATGTATCAAATTATGAACATTATATGTTACATTCTCTGGTCCATATAAAGTGCCAAAATTTCGTACAAAATACTGCAGCAATTCCTCTGCGTAATTAATATATTTTTCGACTAATTCAGAAGACACCAGTATCCGTATCGCGCAATGGAAAGCCAAAAAATGCATGAACTGTTCATTTTTAAGTCTGTATTTAAAAATCAAAGGGCCAGTATAGAGTAATATTTGTCGAAACTCTGTTGCTTTAAAACGCTCAAATTCAGAAATATTTCTAGGCAAACGAGCAAAGTCATTACAGTTTAATATTTTTCGTATTTTTTGCAATTTGCCGTTCACTTTTTCTATACTATCGTTGTTCATTCTCATATGTTGATTGCCACGCACCCAAAAGGAGATTAGTTTCTTCATTACACCAAGGCACACCAAATGCATGTAATCAAGAGGAAATCTTGATAAACCTACACCAAGTTCTTTTAAAGGATATTCACTAACGTAATAATCATCATATGCTCCACTGGCAAAATCAGCATCATTTCTTAAAGAAGCATTGGTTTCAGGATAAGTTACCCTATTTTTGATATAAGTTCCCTCTGTAGTGCATTTGGTGCATCCAAAATAGGCGTTGTGACCCTTGACACCTAATATAAAGGATTTCGCGGGTGCGTCACATATCACTTTGTCAAGTCTAATTCGCAAAACGTGATCTTTATAAAAAATTCCGTTACGCTGAATATTTAAATATTCTTCAACAAAACATTTCATTAGGTCAACGTTACTTTGAACTTTTTCAGTGCCATGAAAAAGCCCTATGACAAACACCTTCTCAGAAAATATGTTGGATAAAGACCCTAATATTGGCCAAAACTGGCTGTTGCTACTTTTTGTTAGAGGCAAACCATCAATGTTTATGTCAAAATCTATTACTTCTGTTGTAATAACAGCATCATTTGCAGTTAGCACCGAAAGTATTCCAACTGCTAAGCCAAAATGGTAATATCGACCATTTGCTGTGCTCATATAGAAACCATTTGGATTATGTACTGTAACAAGTGTACGGCAATCTAGAGGTAAGGAATGATATTCATCCAAACATCGCTTTTGACCTAATATGTGAAGAAGTTCATTAAATGTTTTTTGTGAAACATGATTTTTTATAGACCATCTGGACAATTCTACAGACAAAGGTATCTTTTGGGAACTATCAGCTGTTGTAAATTCAGGAAGTGTATTTATAGTTATAAGGTTGTTTGGAAAAATGTCATAGCTTCTGGATTGCTCATTCGATATATTGTTCTGATTCCATTCTTCTAAAGGGTTTTTGTAAGGAATCAAAGCAGAGTGCCCTGGATGGAGCTTGGATTTAGCCACCATACGATGTTTTGGATTACATACAAGATGCAGGTTTGTATTAACTTGATGTTGTTTGATCACTCTACGAAGGTAATTTTTATTCAATTGGCCTAATGTTTTTCTCCTCTAAAAACAAAAATGGTATGCGTAAGATGCGCGTTTACGACAAAAATATTAGAAAAAGACACACCGTTTCCGACACAGTATTATAATAGAAAAATAAGAGGCAAGCAATTGCTTGATGATGTGAGTCCCTTAATGGACTTACATCATCAGGTTATCAACTTCCAGAATCATCGGCCAGTTGATAGCTTGACGTATAGAAAACTTCTAGAAAATAGCACACAAACCATAGCTAAATAAACAAACACCATATTGCCTATGTCAAGTAATGGTGGGTACAGAGACATGCAACAGAACTCCGTAACAATAATTGGGAAATTATCTGAATTTTGTAAATTTTTGTTTTTTTTTTGTAAATCACATTTCCAAAATTCAGAAAATTTTCATAACATAAATGTTATATTCCCAAGGCCCAGTTGATTAGCTGATTAGATAATATCTAAGTGTAGTACACTTTGTCAGTAACGGAGCACCGCTAAACATTAAATTAAATTCAAGAGTTAATCAGCTGTTAACCAACTGTTATACAACTAGGCCTAAAATAAATCTATCCCTTAGACCGAAACAAATTAGTAAATACGGCAACGTCGCCTCGCATGACCCTGATTTAATGTCAAATGCCTGACATTAAATGAAATTTTCATCAGCTAATTGTTAATTAAACTCAAAATCTTTGGAAAAAGAAGATGTTTGTAAAACATCCAAATAATATTTTATAACATATGCTTTACACATATTTTATGACATATGACACATATTTTGGGTAATAACTTCTATAAAATGATAACAAAAAATAAATAAAATCGATGTGAATATATCTTAGATCATACACAGTAAGTAAGTTCTAAGGAATATATACTTTTTGTTACAGCAGGGTAGGCAAAAGAAAACCTACCTACTTATTTCTAAAGATAGGCAACTATAAAACTTAACACACTTATTAAAAAATATTAATGATTTAAATTCTAAATAAAATTAACCATGGTACCCATTCTAAAAGCTTATATCTAACATGCAAGAACTATAAATTTTAGATTTGTGATTTTTAGATTTAAAGATATGAGTTAAAAAGTAAGAAAAACAGGAGTCGGATTTTTTATAATATATCTAGCTAGATATAGATAAAGATCTTTATCGATAAAGATAAATTTAATACAGATATATACCTAGGTATATTATCTTTATCTTTTTTCAAACTATTGCCGTAGGTGCATAGGTATTCACTTGTATTAAATTTATCTTTATCTCGAACCAGAAAAACTTTACAGGTTTGCGAACTTTTAAGTTTACAAACCAGAGTCAATTCTTAAAATCTCTAATTTTAATTTGTTTTATGCTTAATACTTTAAACATTACGTACTTAAATTTTAAAATTACAAGTTTTTTGTTATAAAATACAAAAAAATCTTTCCTTAAAAAATTGAAATTAAAGGCTATACCGGGTATTACTCTAAACTACGCAAAAACAATATTTAAAGTCTTACCTTGGTAACAGTTGTTGCATCCATATTACGTATTTCAGTATTTCAATATTTCAATAATAATTAATTATTAATGCCCACAGCAATGCCAACAAGTAGTTAAACCTAAAAAAAAGTATAACCTCAAAATTTACAATACTAATTTTGACTTTAACCATTGTTTTAGAGGTTAATACCTCTAAAAACAATGCTTTAACTGAATTTAAGAATTGTTTTATACATATAAATTTTAAAGGAAATTCCACGCGGTCTAAGGTCGAAGTTTAAACAAAAAACGAGTTTAAACTCGTTTTTTGTTTAAACTTCGACCTTAGACCGCGTGGAATTTCCTTTAAAATTTATATGTATAAAACAATTCTTAAGCTATACCTACGGGTATTACTCTAAACTACGCAAAAAACAATATTTAAAGTCTTACCTTGGTAACAGTTGTTATTATATTAAAACAAAACACAACACCTTTATGATATGTAAAACAAAATTTAATGCCCACAGACAAACACGTTAAAAGTTTTAACTTAAAACGCCATCTATGACGCCATCTGTTCAGCGCTGTACTAAAATTGGAGGGGCCGTTGTTGATTGGTTGTTAACAACCAATCAATTGATAATTTAAAAAGCGCATGCGCGCAGTCCCATAAGTAACCTTTTTTCTGTAAGCTTGCAGCAATATTAGGCAACAAAGACTTGTAGCAATGTTACGCTTTGAAAGCTTGCTGTTTAACATTGCGGCAGCCTTGCAGCAATATAAATTTGAAAGCTTTAAATTTTATTACGAGTGCAATATTGCAGCAATATTTTAATTGCAATTGTAAGGTTTGATGTTTAGTGGGAGTAATAGCTATTAATTGACAATACAATTCATTATAATTAAAACCAATGCCAGTATTCCATAGTTCCATTTTATCACAGCGACAATATTTGTTATCACCTTGTTTACACGTTGCTAAGGATTTTGACACTTTTCTTGATTTGACATTTGTTGACATTTAAATACTGCAGTATTTAATATATTAAATTAAATTTACGTAAATTTAATTTAACAAACACATGTGTACACATGTGTTTGTTAAATTAAATTAAATATACACATGTGTTTGTTAAATGATTAAAATAATGAATTATAAACTCTAAAAGATTGATGGGTTGGTGTAAACGATAATAAAATTAAGGTAAATTTGAATAAAAGGTTTATTAAAGTCTTTTTATATTTTAAAGCACATTTTAATTTCAAATGTCAAACTGACAATTCGTTAAATCCTAAAATTCATTATGTAGGTATATTTTCTCACTAAATATAACTCGTGGTATGATTATAATTATAATTATCGATGATATTTACCAGGACGTCTGTAGTCTTTTTTTTGAATGCCCAGGTTGTTGTGGCCGGCACTCGGCCGAGTAAACATAATATGTTTACTCGGCCGAGTTATTATGTTTATTGAATACAAAATGACAAAATTGTAAGTAGGATTGGTATAACTAGTTTTGGAGGCCCTCCAAAACTAGTTATACTCCAATGGAGGCCCCTATTTACTGAGATATTTTAGTTAAAAGACTCACCCTGTAAAGGTATTTATTAAATTTATATACCTACCTATGGAAACTCTTTAAATGGGGATATGAAGTAGCTACCTTAAATAACTAACAAACTTATAGGTATATTAATTAATTTAAGTATTATTTATATAAATTTATTTACTAAATATTTTAAATTTGGTGCCAAATGTATGCATTTCTGTTTAACCATGTTGCTGCCTCCGCGGCATTTTTGTGATTAAATCGAGCTGAAACTTAATGAAATGAATTGCCAAATAGGATAACATACGATTATAATAGAACAAAATCAAAAAACAAACTGATAAAAATTTTTAAGATCAAAGTGCAGGCAGTAATCTAACCTAAAAACATTGAAAGTTTTCGAAAAAACACGCGTATTAATGAATAAATATAAGTTAAACTACGTTTATTTCGATGTTTAAACACAATAGGACTTTTAAGAATATTTATTTAGGTAAGTTTTTGTCTTGGTTTTTATAATTTTTGTCTTATTTTTAAGAATTAATAAGGTGCGTATAAATTGTTTGCGCAATTGTTTATTTATCTGTCAATTATTTAAAAATGCGAATTTTTAATTTACTATCATTTGTTTTGTTGTTTCAGGTTATGAATTTGTTAAAAACAATGATTTATTTAGATCAAGATGCAATTTAAAAACATTCACAAGGGACTACAGTGCCAAACTGACTTCTTTCAATAATGTTTTGGTAGTTTCAAAATTATCCCGATATGAATATGAGCAAAGACGTCACCAAGACTTAAGCAGTCAAGAACTTGAAAAACTATTGAGAAATAGGGGGACTGATTATGAAAAATTAGTAAAATTTCATGATTTACATAAGAGATTTGAGGAAAATGTTGTTACAACACTTGAGAATATGGGGATATGTGTTACAGTATGCAATAGGTGGGATAAATAAAAATTTTATTAATATAAAATATTTTTGACGAGGTAATTTTTCAGATTTAGTTTTTGTGAGGATCTTGTTAATCAAGCTGATGTGATAATGCCAGTAGGAGGTGATGGTACTTTTTTACTGGCATCTAGTTTAATAAAAGATAATAAAAAACCTGTTATTGGGTTTAATTCTGATCCCAATAGATCTGAAGGGCATTTGTGTTTGCCCAAAAAATATTCCACAAACATTAGAGAAGCTATTGAGAAATTACAAAAGGTATTTATTTATTAGTCTTGCTTCTAGAAGAAAAGGTGGTAATATGGAATGTGTTTATTATATAAAATGCTGCTCTTATTATCAATATGGGTAGGTATACCTACATGAGGTGTTTATTAACACTGAAACCCTTTTTCTTGTAAAAAAAGACAATTACATGATTGTCTCTTTTAGTAATAGGTCACTCTTTTTTGAAATATTGGAACCTAAATGAAGCTGGAATTCCCTTTTGGGCATAATTTTTTTGAACCTATTTACTAGCTAAATATGAAAGTACTTTGGACGTTAAAAAAAATATTTGCCCCTTTTTTTAATTTAAAGGTTTACAATAAAAGTTAAAAAAGGCAACATTCACCAAGCTTTTTATAAAATTCTGGAAAAAAATTGACAAATCTTGTCAAAGAAAAGATTAAATTGACAGATGACCTAACCTCAAATTCAAAGACCCTTTTGAATCTCACACCCATGGAGTCTACACAAGGAGTCCGAACTGCATGTAAACAGGAATCTTCCTAAGGAAAGTAGGCGCTGGTGTATTATTCTGAAACAATTGACTAATTTGTACCGAAACGCCACCAAAAGAGCAGACGTCAGTACGCATCAACAATCAGCGCCACTGGTAGTAAAAAAAAAATACTTAAATTGTGCAATTTAAAGGGGAGGTTTTGTCAATTTTCCCTATTAAGTTCGGGCTCCTTGTGTAGGCTCCATGCTCACACCGCAGAAGATTAAAGAATGCGCTGGTCTGCAAAACACGCATAACAGCAAAACTTTCTGGTTAACTAGTTACTTTTGGTGCAAAAGTAACTAGGTAACCAGAATGTAGTTTGGGCTACTGTATGTATTAGTGAAGGGAGAATCGAATGATTTTTAGAATCGAATACTTTGCATTCGAATACTCTAAAGAATCGAATGATCATTCGAATGCAGAGAATCGAATAGTTTGTTCCGAACCGAAAATAACCGAAAACATTTATGAATGTTTTCGGAACAAATTATTCGATTCTCTGTATTCGAATGGTCATTTTATTTCTTGTTTACAATTCGTTATGGGCTGAGCAGGTTGGCTTCGCACTGGGTGCAATATAAATTCTAAACCGGCTGATATACCTACTAATTGATTTATGATATGTTTTCTTTATTTTTGACATAAAACATAAACTATATTATTTTTTCTTACTACCTCGACTCAAAATACGTTCTTTCGTCCCCGATTTCACGGCAGAAAGTTTACGTTTCTTGCATTGGTCAAGCTATACGCGCACACTCTAATAGCGGGAGTAAATAGTATATTACACTACTAGGGCAGAAAGTGTGAGATTCCTGCACTGCGCGCCATGATGCCCGAGGCGAAGCCGAGGGCATCATGGCACGCAGTTCAGGGCTCTCACACTTTCTGCCCGTGTAGTGTATACTATTTTTCTTGCTACCCCGCAGAAAATACGGAAAAAAATTAAATGTATATAAAAAAACTTGTGTCAAAATTAAAATCTGACGTTTAATTTAATTCTGACGTTTACATTCAAAATCAATCAAACTGTAGCGTTGTCATGGTAATTCAGCGGTGCCAATACAGTAAAAATAAAAGGTTGTATTTTAATTAACAAATTACCACTTTATAACAAATAAAAGTACCATTAAACACTTAAAACAACATAAAAAGTAAAAAAGTAAAAACATAAATTGTTTATTTGTTGTTATAATTGCAAAATTATGGTTTAAAACTGTCATATTTTTGTGTTTCTCATGTTGGCAGTACGAAATTTGAATGTTAAGCACACGACCAGGGTTGGGTATCTACCTACATTTTTGTTTTCGACATGTAGAAAACCTTTTTCGACGTTTTCGACGGTAGAAAACGTAAAAAAGTAGAATACTGTCAAATATAAAAAAATGTGAGGTTATGCAAGTTTGTTGTTTATTATGATTTGTTAAATGTTGTGAAAAATCAGACACCTACAGGGTTGGGTCAGTAGAAAACCTTAGGTAATTTACCTTGGTAGAAAAGGGTAGAAAACTTGTTTTCGACTTGCGTCGAAAACCTATAGGGTTTTCTACCTACGTTAATTACCTTTTTCGATCTTCTCCTTCCACTTCTCTATAATTGATAAAAATTTGCCCTCATGCCAAAAATTATGTTGGGGTCTCCCAACCAAACGTGGCCCTTTTTTTCCCACCATAATAATGTTAAAAAACTCCAAATAACTTCAAATTTATGGTAGGTGTCTGATTTTTCACAACATTTAACAAATCATAATAAACAACAAACTTGCATAACCTCACATTTTTTGATATTTGACAGTATTCTACTTTTTTACGTTTTCTACCGTCGAAAACGTCGAAAAAGGTTTTCTACACGTCGAAAACAAAAATGTAGGTAGATACCCAACCCTGGACACCTACCATAAATTTGAAGTTATTTAGAGTTTTTTAACATTATTATGGTGGAAAAAAAAGGGACACGTTTGGTTGGGAGACCCCAACATAATTTTTGGCACAAGGGCAAATTTTTATCAATTATAGAGAAGTGGAAGGAGAAGGTCGAATAAGGTAATTTACGTAGGTAGAAAACCCTATAGGTTTTCGACGCAAGTCGAAAACAAGTTTTCTACCCTTTTCTACCAAGGTAAATTACCTAAGGTTTTCTACTGACCCAACCCTGCACACGACTAAAAAATTTTTACTCCCGCTATTAGAGTGTGCGCGTATAGATTGACCAATGCAAGAAACGTAAACATCACAGAACATAAGGTAAACATTCTGCCGTGAAATCGGGGACGAAACAACGTATTTTGAGTCGAGGTAGTAAGAAAAATTTTTTTACTTTTTATGTTGTTTTAAGTGTTTAATGGTACTTTTATTTGTTATAAAGTAGTAATTTGTTAATTAAAATACAACGTTTTATTTTTACTGTATTGGCACCGCTGACACAGAACATAAGACCGCTGAATTCACGGCCTACTGTTATTTATTTATCAAGCTCTTCAAATGGAGATAGGTACCTACATAAATACACATTTAATTTTTTCCCGTATTTTCGGCCGGGTTGTATTTTCGGCCGAGGTAGTAAGAAAAATAGCATACACTACACGGGCAGAAAGTGTGAGAGTCCTGAACTGCGCGCTATGATGCCCTCGGCTTCGCCTCGGGCATCATGGCGCGCAGTGCAGGAATCTCACACTTTCTGCCCTTGTAGTGTAATATACTATTAGTCGTGTCACACGACTCGTGTGCTTAACATTCAAATTTCGTACTGCCAACATGAGAAACACAAAAATATTATAGTTTTAAACCATAATTTTGCAATTACCTATAACAACAAATAAACAATTTATGTTTTTACTTTTTTACTTTTTATGTTGTTTTAAGTGTTTAATGGTACTTTTATTGGTTATAAAGTAGTAATTTGTTAATTAAAATACAACCTTTTATTTTTACCGGAAAAGGACCATGGAGTTATCAAAGTAGTGCCAAAAAAGACATTAGCTATAAATACTGAGAGAGAAACGGTAAGTCTCTTCCATATAAACATATGTAGTCTCCAGAATAAGGTAGATGAACTATCGCTTTTTATTGGTAATTATGACTTTGGTGTGGTCTGCATATCCGAAGTTTGGTTAGAAAAAAACTTATTGGAAACAATAAACTTAAATAATTATACACTAGCAAGCAGTTTCTGTAGGAATAAGAAAACACATGGGGGGTGTCAATATTCATAAAACAGAATATAAATTTTAAACTTATAGACATTAGCCATTATACTATCGAGTTCCACGCAGAATTCTGTGCATCTTACATTGAAGCCATAAACTCACTTGTTGTGTGTTTATACAGGTCTCCCGATGGCGATTTCAATATGTTTCTTGAGGCTTTGGAAAGGCTACTGATCTATGCCTCTAGTAATTTTCATAATATTGTGGTTCTAGGTGACTTCAATATTGACTTTAAGAAAAATTCTTTATGCCAAACTGAATTGGCTAATTTAATACACTCCTTTAACTTAAACATCTGTATTTCAGATTTTACACGAGTAACAAATCACTCAGCAACGTGTATTGACAACATACTTACAAATCTGGACGATGGATTTGAGACGGGGGTTGTCGACCCAACCATATCTGACCATAAAGGTCAATTCATAAACATACAAACAAAAACAACAATTTCTTTAAATCCAGTATGGAGAAGATCTTACACAAAAAAATGTTTAAAGAAGTTCAAAGTTGATCTTAAAAAAATTGACTTGGGCTTTTTTGAGGATGGTAGGTACTCAGCTGAATATCTGTCTGAGTGTTTGGTATCAGAGTACAAAACTCTAATAGAAAAACATTTTCCCCTAAAAAAATGTCTTCAACAACTTAAACCACCAGTTAAGTGGTTTACAAAATCACTCAAAAGCATGAGAGAGACGCTTTCCTGTCTAAAACTCATTGCAGAAGTTACATGCAACGCAGTGGATAAAAAAGCATATACAAATTTTAAAAGTATGTACATACATGAAATCAAGAAGACAAAAAGGGATTCCTATGATTTATTTATTTCAAATTCGAGAAACAAGTCAAAGGACTGCTGGAGACTTGTCAATCATGAACGAAATAAAGTAAAATCCACTAAAATAAATGAGTCTATACCTCCAGATACTTTTAATAACTTCTTTGCCACTGCGGCTGAACAAATCATAAAATCGCTACCAAACGCTCAGACAAATGGTGCTAGTGACATCCTCAGGGACGCTTTAAAAAATAAGGGTCCAAAATCATTTTTTATGGCACCTGTAACTTCACAAGAGGTTAGAAAAACCATTGGAAGATTGAAAAACTCAGGTAGTATAGATATACATGACATAAACTGTGTATTGATCAAGGAGACAGCCGATATTATTGCTGATCCTTTGGCTAGTCTTTACAATAAATGCTTAACAGAGGGGGTCTTCCCCACCTTATTTAAAATATCTAAAATAACCCCGGTTTTCAAAAAGGGTGAAAAAAGTTCGGTCGACA